CCAATGGTACAATTTCAGGGGTTTGAGATGAATTCCCATAGATTGGTTAAGCACCAGCAAGGAGATAAAAGTTAGAATGTTGAGAGCATGCATCTTCCCTATGGCTACAAACGGATATGAGTCGTGGATTATCTCTCAGTCCTTAAGAAAGAGAATAGGGGCCTTTGAGCTGAAATGCTATAGAAAGATTCTCAGAATATCTTGGACAAAGAAGAGGAGAAATATTGACATCTTAAAAGATCTGAACATCAAGGAAGATTGGCTGATAAACACCATCGTATCTCGAAGGCTGAAATATTTTGGTAATATCAAGCGCCACGAGGGATTGGAAAAAATTATAGCAGAAGGCATGGTAACAGGAAGGAGGGGCAAGGACCGACCGACACGAAGATGGGCACAGGATATAAGTGACTCCTTGAGTGTGAACGTTCATGAGGTGGGAGAACTGGCAAGAGACCGAGTTTCTTTCAGGCAGACTGTGATGAGAGTGACGTTCTGCAAAGGACCTGCTATATGATGATGATGATGTATTCTATAGAAATTGAATCAAGTTGTGCAATAGACATGGCTAATGAAGACACCTTGGAATGGGGGAGACAGTTGGTCATGCGTCTCAGTACACTTGTTTCTACAGCGAGACACTATTATCATTTGGAGGTGACATGTTCGGTTATCGATCAATACATGTTTGTTTGTGTATTATTGTTTAATACTTGTACGGTCTTCACCCATCTGTTTATTATAAATAATCTTGCTGTTGATCAATATATGAACTAGAATAAAATCGTTGCTGTTAGTTGTTCTTCGGTGTTTCAGGTGATCTATCTTAAACATTCAGTCCCTTTTTTTGTGCTCCAGTTGAGTGCATGGTGTGACACTGTGAGCTACGTGTGTTTTTCGTTGGCACAGGAGCGGAGCAACTATGGGGTGAAAAAAGAATCCGACTCGACGCAGGTTCAAACCAGACATCTAAGCCAGCATGCGGGGTGTAGTCGCTACGTTTCTTGTTATATGTTGTTTCTTGTTGGTTGAGTTCTGGTAAAGGTGTGTTGCTGCAGCGTCCGTTTTTCTAAACTTGCAACTGTATTATCTGAAGCTGGCACATACTTAGTGTTTTATATATATATATGATTTTTTTTTTTTTTTTTTTTTTTTTTTTTTTTTTTTTTGTATTTCACATTTTCACACTTGTACTGCGTGTCTTCTCCTCCTCACCCTTCTCCTCCTCACCCTTCTCCTCCTCCTTTGCATTCACTGTTTGTAAACCACGCAGGAAAGTTCTGGATGTTTATCCAATTCTGGTCTTCAGTCTTGTTCCAGAACCTGAGTTTTGCGTGCACATCCACAGATCTAGCTAATTTGTGCATAGATTGTGGGCTGCTCACTCTCAGACAGATGCACTCTGACTGTGAAAGAAACATCCATAATTAGTGGACATTTAGGACATGTTTGTTGTGGAGGGAGGTCAGTGCGTCTATTCTTCCTCTCTCTTCTCCCCCCCCTCCCCCACAATGGAAGCCAAGATCCCAAACAGTAGTACTGTAAGTCTTCTATTTCGTTTATTTAACCCATAAAGTAGATTACTTTTGTCCCAAATAAAAAAACACCATCAGGTTTTATGGAAAAGAAGAGGCAGGTATGGTTCTCGTCCACGAAACATGATTGACATAACTGTGATCAACAGTCGATGGTAAGCAGAGTTAAAGAATTGGTTTTTCTCTGAATGCCTGCCGAAAAGCTGCCTTACGCATTTTTTACTTTGCATGTGCAAGTTTCAAGATATTGTCGTAGCTTTTCACTAGTTTTCAAATGGGACAGTGAAGAATTTTTTGTGTGATTTCCACAGGTTCGGGAACTGAGTAGTTTTGGGGGCCACCAGTCTGAAGTTATGTTGGAACCTCGACTAACGTGTAGAGCTGCGTCTGCGATGGCTGTTGCTTTGGACGGAGTGTGGGGAAATCAAATATCTACTTCAGTACGCAAGATTTTATTCAATAGGCCTTCGGCTCGGTTTCTCTCCGAAGAACTCATAGCTGCTTGACAAAGCACTAACTCTAAAGCGCCAGAGCCGATCCACAGAGATGTCAGTAAAATAGTGCACTCGTAAATGCAACGACGCAATTCTTGAATAGCACGGGACATGTAGCAAAGCTACATAGCAGCAAAAATTGGATATGTGGCTCAATATAAGGACAATTAACCTGGAAAGAGAAACTGGCAGATCCACAGGTGCCGTGTGCACGACGTTTACATTCCTAAAGGAAGGTAGCTGTCGGATAGGCATCTACAATGACCCACTTTAAATCTGAAGAAGTCGTTGGCATCTACCAAGGCCATCTTGAATATTTAAGGCGGCCTTGCGTAAGGCCATCTTAAATATTGAGACGGCCTTGCGTCTACTCCAGTATTTGGGTCGAGGGCGCAAACAGCGGAGAATAGGTCTTGAAACTGGCTTATTGGTTCGGACCAGTGCTGAGGTAATTCGTACTTTCGTGCAAATTTGGTACCATTTGATCCTTGGCGAGCGAAACTGTACCCTGACTGATGTTTTGGTACGTTTCAGAAATTTTGCACGAATATTTCAGATTTTGGCATTGTGTTGAATCTTTTATGAAAAAAAAAAAATTAGGAGCAAACTGAAAATGATGCTATTGTTAATACAAATGTACCATTCAATGTGACTGGTCGAGTGTGTTTTTGTTTCAATTTCGGTCCTATTTACTACACACTGGTTGACCTTTCATTCATGATTGTTCAGGCTGGTCTACGTCAGAGGGATGTCACGTTGTACTTTTTTTTCCCGAACAGCTTTCTGCATTGAGTGTTTTAGCGACCCCAGAACATCTATAACTGGCCCCAACCCACACACAACTACCCACTGCCTCAGTTCCACGAGAGAGTCTAGAGTACGTCGCATGCTTTCAGATTTGTTAACATTTTCCGCTCCGTTTTGCTCCAGACAAGCAAATTATCCTCCTCGTCGCTTGTCGTTTTTTAAGTCAATTTAACCGCTTTCAAATAAACGTTACAAATCTAGCACCGTGTGTTTTGTGGCCTTTTCAAAATAATTTCGGTATTATTTCAAATATAAATAAATAAATAGGTGGAAAAAACATTCGGCTTTCCTGGTTGGGACGCACACAACTATCATGAATCCGAAACGCCTTTTTGCAAAGTGTAAAGAAGATAGAGGCCAATCAAGCGTGAAACGGAGCTTATTTAGAGGCCAAAGGGTCGTAAAAGGAGGAGCTTGATATAGAGTCCAAACACCCTTAGCGGGGAGAGATAAGATAAGATGATCAGAAGCCTCACTTGCGGTTGCTTCAATGGAGAGATTATAGTTTACAGTTTACACTATTAGGAAGGTTCTACCGCTACTCCACGTGTCCACCATTTTGACAAATAAACATTAAAAATGAACGCTTACTGAGCTTCGAATGGGAGATCCCCGTGTAGGTCCCGAGGTCCCAATGTGGGGAAAACAAGAAAAGACATTAGCTACTGTCTTCCGAACAAGCATGTCGTTTGTGTCGAATAATTTGAGGCTTCCTTTAAAGCACGTGCCTGAGAGGCTAGGAACCAATAGCCTGCATACAAATAAGTAAGATCAGTAAAGCGGATGCACATGCAACACTCAGGTCCTGGAGCAAAGCCGAAGTTCAGAAATGGGTGAACAACCAGCTCTTTCGGCCAGGGTTCCCAGCTGGTGAACGCAAACAAACAAACAAAGAATGGGAGATCAGGCAAAATAAATCAGCCAGGAATCGCCTTAACTACGAAGGCCGGCTGCAATGGATCCTCAACACGCCCTGTCGTCACATTAAGATGTGGATGCACAGAATAGGCCTATCTCAGCTAAAGAACGACTATCAAATCACGACCTGTCTCCAGTAGCGGAGACGGTCTTGATGAAATACATAGGCCCATAAGAGGGGCTGAGTGGTCTCCATGTATACTATCCTCCTCGAGTGATGGAGATCCCGGGTTCAAAATTTAGAGTTAAAAATCTACCCAAAATAGTTTACGCAGGCTTGAGTTAGAAGTAGAACGGAGCACTTATGTCCCTACTGTGACGTTAAGCTCTCTCAGTTAAATTTTTCTGTCATCCCCCCCCCCCCCCCCCCCCCCCCCCACAGTCCACCGACTATTCCTCTCTTCCTTACCGAAGGAATGCCCACATCTTTACATTTCCACACAGTCTTAAAACAACTCTTCGTCACCATAACGACAATTGTCTTCCTTGAATTCCCTTTCAGCCGTATAGCCATTTAGCACAGTTATATTGGAGTACCATAAAACTCTTAAGAAGTAACTTGTAGTCCAGTGTGGGTGGACTGTGTAGAACAGAATGTGAACTGGTACTGGTACTGGTGTTGATAAAAAAACGAAAAACTTCTTGCCTCTTTCAACCGGCTCCTAGATTGAGCGTTGGTTATATCGTGGCTTTGTTTGTGTGCTTGGAGTTTGTTCTCCAATGATATATATTCCTCCTTATTTGCGGCGTTTCTATACGCCTTAGCATTTGCTCGGTGTTTGAGCTGTTATTTGTATTTGTCACGTCCGTCGTCGCCTTGCCGCACTACTGCATCCTCTTGGTACGTCATCATATAGCACTCTGGTCAGACCAAAACACGGCCCTTTTCAGGGTCCCCAATTTAACTTCTTTTTGTTAGCTTTTTTGTTTTCGCTCCATACATGTGTATGTGCGTAAGCTTTTTTTTTTTTTGTTTTTTTTGGTGCCTTTTTTTTAGCCAAATTGTTTTTTTTTGCACAGAATGTGAAAACAGACAGTATATATATATAGGTGTGTGCGGGCGAGTGGGTTTGACAGTAATTTAATAGTTTTCCGCATGGGCTGTGCCCACGACTCGTGACATAGATCGTGAAAATGAGTCATCGTGTGAACCAGAGTTGTCTCTCGCACAATCGGAAGCAGGAATGGAATTGTGGGTCAAGGAAGTCATTGAGATGCATCCCGAAAATTTGCTCACAAATGATAGATGATGGAAGCCGTCGACGATGTATTATACGGACTGTGTATAGTTCTGTTTTTGGGATATTGTATAAACTCGTCGCTTCATTTTTTTGCCATCATTTACGGGTGAGTTGTGTTACACATGTGTTTGAAAATAGGGAGTGAGTCGTGGCGAACAAGTTGGCGCCGGTGTGTCGAAAAGCCGCCACTGCGGCTGTGTGTACTCAGACTGTTGCGTTCGAACGAGAGCCTTGAAAGCAAAAAATTAATAAAATGGAATTTCTGGAATAACTGAGACCTGTTGCACGATCACGAAGTTTGAGTTGTTGTTTGATCGTTTAAAATAGAAGTGTCTCTTTTATATTCCGTGCCTTTGTAATGTATAATACAGCTGGGTATGTCATATATAATATATATTTAGGAATATAATGTAGGGCGGTATGCAAACAAGACAGAACTGAGAATCAAATGATGCCGGCCTCTGCTGCCACTCCTACTAAGTTATTATAAAATAACTAATAACATTTAAAAAAAGAACTGAAGAAATTATTTGTTTATTAATATTTAAAATTGTAAATACGAAAATTTCCTAAGAAAGTTCGTTTACATCGAAATTAAGTTTTCCGTACAACTGTACATTGTACTGACAGTAACAGTAACGCACGGATAGATCATAGTCCTATCGTTGATAATATTGATATCGAGATCATCAAATATTCCAGTTTCAGTTCCGAGTTTGATGCTAAAGATGATTATTGATTATTTAATTATTTATGATTTTTAATCAGCTGACCTATGCTGATTAATTAATAGTATAGTTAGCTTTAGAGTTAACGTTAACAGACAGTTGGTTTGATAAATGTGTCACTTCACTTTTATTAGTGGCTAGTATTTTTTTTATCTATTAAGTCTTGTGTTCCACTCCAAGTTTGGTTCAAACTTTACTTTTTACAATTCATCTCAATTCATCCAAGATGTGTATACTGTACACATGTACCATAACATGATAACTAGTCTTTACTTATATGGAGTTTTAAATTAAAATCAGACCTGCACAGTGTATCTCTTCATAATATTAATTACAATTTGTGTATATTAAGCAGCATATTATTATTAGGCTAAATTATGATTAGCCTAGCATTTCTTCAATGGCTAGACTTTCCACCACCTGGCAAGGAGTGCCAGTCATGCCAGAAGAAACATAGACATCAGATCTCAATGCTGCATGGACTAATCTGGTTACTAATGATGTATCTCTGACACTACCATAATTGTGTGACCTGGGAGTACAGCACGGTGAAGCACATCTACACTGTCCTTGAGGCTGAGATAGGAAACATTATTACCAGCTCTTCATGGGAATAATCAGTATAGGTACCTTGGCATGGCCACTACAATCATCATAGAGCAGAGCACCCAAGGGAAAGCCCAGTGTGCAGTGACTTTGATTGTGAAACATATAACAGAGCTTTGAGAGTAAAAGTAAGATAAAGAACCCCCTTTTTTTTTTACATCAGTGGCACATCAGGCATAATATGCTAGAGTGACATTTTTATAGACCAGTCATCATCATGCCGGCCATCTTGTCTGCTCGGGACATTATCTGGGACCTATTTCAGACTGCGTTGACCTGGAAACCAAGTTCAGTTTTGAAAAACATCACACTCAGTTTGATTTTGAACTACTTATGATGAGCTTACAAGATTCTAGTCACTGCACCACAGCAGCTTCCAGAGTTTTGAGAGGGGAAGAAGATTTCTGCAGCATTGTTCCCTGGGAGAGTGTACTTGGCACTGAATTAGAACGTCTAAACCAACCTTACTTTGACAGATGCAAGCCCTCTTCTTGACTGAAATGACCCCCTGACTCAGTACATTGGTCTTGAGAAATTAAATACAAGCCTTCAGGGATCACAACCATCTTGAGTTAGGAATAAATTGAAGAGATCAATCACGCGGCTATCTGTTGCCAAATTGCCTGCTGCTGAATTGAATCAAGTATGTTGGAATTATAAAACTGCACTCATAACCCTTTAGCCAGAGACATTGATAACTACTGACTATGGAATCAAACAGATCTCATACTAATTAATGTATGTTACCTAATATAGTACTGTGTGGTCCTTGTATCTGTCACCAAAACCTTCTGTACTCACCCTAAAAAGGTTGGTTGTTACAACGTGGTGTACAACTCTGTTGTTATGTCGGTGCCTTTTTGGCACAGCATCTTACATTTTAATAAGTCCTTAAACAGTCATATTTTATTACATCTGTTTAAGGGACAGTTGGTCGCTGCAGACTGTTGTTTCGTTACCTACCAGGTAAAGATACTCAGTCTTCAAAAGAAATGCCCCTGATTAATTTGACTTTTATGGGATTGGGGGGGGGGGGGTGTCCTAAATTACTTCCCACACACACACACCAGGGGCGCCCTTGAACCCATACAGAATCTTAAAATAATGACACAGACTCGCTTAGTAAACTGAAGACACATTAGAAACACTGACATTAGTAACACAGTGAGACATTAGCAAAACTCACATTTGACATTAACAACACTCACAATGACATTAGCGACACTCACAGTTGATATTAGCAACACCATAGTGACATTAGCAACATTCAAAGTTGACATTAGCATCATTCAAAGTTGGCATTAGCAACACAAACAGTTATAATTAACATTGCTCACAGTGACATTAGCAACTCATGCAGTGACATTAGCAACTCATGCAGTGACATTAGCAACTCATGCAGTTACACTCATGCAGTGACATTAGCAACACTCACAGTGACATTAGCAACTCATGCAGTTACATTAGCAACTCATGCAGTGACATTAGCAACACTCACAGTGACATTAGCAACATTCACAGTGATTTTAGAGTGATATATTCACTCCCATACTTTCTTTTGTTTTTGTCTGTTTCAGCTTTTGCTCTTTATTTTTTGTCATTTCTCCCCCTTTCCCAATGTTTTGGTTATCTGCACTGCCTAGTCTATGCCCTATTTAGGAGCTTCCTTCGTGGTGGGGGGGGGGGGGGAGAGTAGGGTCAGAGAGATAGATTCTCTGCTCCTCAAACATGTTGGAGAAAGCAGCCATCTAAGGTTTTTTGCTAAAATCAAATATGTTGGGTTGAAAAGTGAAGTCAACGCAACCTAGCTGTAAACCACAACACAACATGCCAGCCATCTATTTTAAAAGTGAACACGGACGAAGAAGAAGAGCCCCTAAAGTTAAGCTTACAAGTAATTATAAGAAGAGACATTTTAAAGTGATACTTAAATTTTAATGCTGATAGTAAACCTCACATATGGTGACATTTATGAATATTTTTATTGTGTCTTTAATTTATCATGTAACCAGTATCAGTTGACTCAACTCAAGCATCTGCTTGATGGAGTTTCATGAGTGCCTCTGTAACCTATATGATTTTTGTGTAACCCATCCTTTTATGTAATTATTTAATCTAATGGTTTGATGGTATTGAACATGTACCATATGCAAGATAAATTGAAGGAAGCTTAGTTGGTTTTATTATAACTATAGTGTTTTACGTAATGAGGCAGGCAGCTCCAAGCTGAACCCCATCCTCACCTCTTCATTGCCTTGTGTGGTGCATAGAAAACCCGATGACAGTATAAGTAAAGTGTCCTTGCACTGGAGCTCACAGGGACGAAGGAGTAAAGACAGCCCCCCCCCCCCCCCCTCCCTCCCCACCCCCCAAAAAAAATGTAAACACAGAAAAGGGGAAAGAAGGTGAAGTGAAGGAAAAAAAGACGATGGGGACATGGGGTGAGCAAAGGAATAACCAAAGAAACAGGCTTCTTTTTTTTTTCAAAGGTTAAGAATTGGTGCATTGAGGCCCGTCAGACCTCCTGTCTTTCTGCCTCATTCCTTACATAATATTATTCCATTCACACATCAGTTAACATAAAAACAATACACACCTACTTCTGTTTCTTAATCACAATTGCTGGGTTATGCTGTAACTAAACTGCAGTTTCTTAATGGCAGTAATACCAAGTATAGCTCCCCATGTGGCTTCCGGGGCCCCACTGTGAGGAAAACAAGAATAGACCGACAAGCATGTCGTCAGAGTCGACTAATTGCGGGCCTCCTTTAAAGTCATGACCTCTGTTAAGTGTCTATGTCTTGAGGATTATGAGTGCTGTTTCATACTTACAACATATCAGGATCTGAAAGCAAATTGGCAGCATGCTACTTTGCATTTATGTTAAAAGTGGTAGGAATGTTAGAGGGTTAAAAAAAAAATAACAGTAGCTAACTACTGATTATAAAACTGCGTAGTAAAACCACAAACCGTTTACGAAATTCTGGGGTTGACTTGTGACATCCTGTGAAGAATAAGCAGGTAACTTTTAACCTCTGTTATTGACTGCATTGTTCACTAATTATGTGACATCCCGGTACAAGACAGGAAGTTAGTAATTGTTGTACTTGTGTGTTGTAACATGGGGCATGTAGTGATTATGGTGTAGAATCAACATCACTGTACTGGGACAGACCCATAAGCACTTAAGTTTTCCAGCAGTATTTAAAAGCCATAGATGTAGATTGTCCCTGTTGTGTGTGTTGATTAGCTGCACATTTAAACTGTTATTGTTCCCTGTGTGGGTTCCCTGTGTGGGTTCCCGTGTGGGTTCCGGGGCCGTGTGGTAGGGAAAACAAGAATAGACACATTTCCCACACAAAAGCATTTTATAAGAGTAAAATAATTGGGAGTTTCCTTCGAAGCCGGAGTGCATCCTCCTGAGAGGCAAGGAACCGACAGTCTGCAACGAAATGTGTCAGATCTGTAAAATGGATGCGCTGTCAGATCTGTAAAATGGAGTACTCAGATGCTGGAATAGGACAATAGTCCAGAAATGGACAAACAGCCAGAACTTTCCACCGGAGTTTACAGCTGGTGAATGTAAAGAAGAAGAAACTGTTGTTGTGTTCATTACGGCAATTATATACTAAAGTCTCCACTTTGGCAACCGGTATTGAGCCAGCTAGGAAGCCCTCCCTAGGAAGCCTTTTTAAGGGCAGACGTAGAAGAGGTTGGGGGAAGTCACTTTTTAATGGCACGGCGTTAAAAAGTGACTAATAAAAAAAAAAGGATTTGTTGAGCAAAAAGGTGCGTGCGGATAGTTATAAACCAAAACACAGTATGCCAGCTGGCCTTTCAAGAACAAACTGAAGCCGAAGAAAGGCAGATTCATCACAGGATGTTCCCCACCCACAGAGCTGTCATTTATGCTTTGCATTTTATCCTCTCTGTCTGTCTTCAATCCCACCAATGATATGCTGAATTTTGAATTAAGAATCAACATCATAGCACTCAGGACACTCCCATAAGCACTCCATCCCCCATCTTCAGCAGCAAGTGAAGATTTTCCAATTCCGATGGTACCAGTAACTGATTGTATATACGTCTCGCCTTTCCGTTGAGTGTTGGCCAGATATAGTCCACCAGTGAAAGAATGTAGTATTTTTAAAACTGTAATTTTATGTCTAAAATATATTTTCCAAAATTCTTACGTTTAAAATTGGGCATCATCTTATATACAGAATGCAGTTTAAATAGTCACTTCCTTATTACTCACTTCATCGCCTCTTTAGAGAGGGACAGTGTATTATATTCAGACTAAGAACAGGACACACCAGATTTCGTCAACATATGTTCAAATTTTTCGGTGTAGGAAATACGGAGTTGTGTCCCTGCAGCGTGGCACCCGAAAATGCTGAGCATGTGCTCCAACACTGTCAACTGTATGCTGACAACAGAGACGCAATCTGGCCTCTTCCAACCACACTGAAGACAAAACTATGGTACACGAGAGGATATGGATTGCACGATAGCTTTCATAAAGGCTACTAGCCTCCTGATATAAGTTTTCTGACAGAAGGATCAAAGAAGAAGAAGGAAGAAGACTTCCTTATGTGGGGGAGGGGGGGGGGGAGGGAATTGGTCATCTACTGTACTGTAAACTCTGGCAAAGGTTCGCCCACTTCTGGACCTTTCCCTTGTTCCAGAACTGGATTTTTTGCATGCAAATCTGGCTTATTTATATGCAGATTGTTCATTCTTTGCCTCTCAGACAGAAGTACTCTTGATTTAGAAGGAAACATCTATAATCAGTCGCCTCGCATGACATGCTTGTTGGGTCAAAAGGGAAAGGGGATGAGTGGGTTTTTCTTGTTTCATCCAAAATGGAGCCCATATAGGGAGATCAATTACAAACAGTTTTCCTAATACAAATTCAGACCCAAAAGTTTTGACTTAAAAGGCAACCATCTGGCTCCTTTAGATTACTGTCGCCCTGACAAGTGTGGATATACTACATCCTGTCCACTCTTTAAATGTTAAGTAAAGAAAGGAACCCTTGTTTACACCCTTGGCGCAACAGGTGTTTGATGGTAGACTAATACTTTATAGACAGTAGGTACTCTGTGGTCATCATGTCGGACACCTTTACTTTCCAGGAAATTACCTGGTACCCATCTAGGCTGGGCTGACCTGGGAGCAGAGGTCAATGCTGAAACAAAATTTCACCTTCATGTGATTTAAACCTGAGATCTTCAGACCGGAAGAGGAGCGTTTAACCACTATGCTCAACTGACCCCCTTTTAAATTTTGTCAGTTGCCGGGAAACCTGGTTAAGAAATACATGTAGAAGTCGAGTGTGTCTACTAAGAGGTGCAAATATCGCAGCCATGCTTTAAATGGGCACAATGCAATTACATTTTAGGATGAATGCAGAAGAAGAAGAAATATTGTCAGTTTACTGTTAACTAGGCCTTTCACTTCATGTTTCATGTCAGCTGTTTGGTAGACAGTTTGATTTTATTGTATGTAATTGTTTCCTCTACCAGAAAATGGAAGTTTTCTCAGAAACTAACATCCACAGTTCCGGAAGAGTTGCCTGGCGTTTCTATCATCAAGCCATTAGTTGGAGTTGACCCAAATCTTTTCGATAACTTAGAGACATTTTTTAATTTAAAGTACCCTCAGGTATGTTACTTTGAAAATATGTATGAGATGTAAACCTGTGTTATTGTATTACATTTTCATAATAGAATATATCTAAAAGTAAGAAACATTTTTTAAAAAACATTTCTCTGTTTGTGAGTTTTAGTGTTATTGTTCCCCTGTGTGGGTTCCGGGGCCCTATTGTGGGGAAAACAAGAATAGACCCACTGCCTCCCCAAAAGCATGTCGTAAGAGTCGACTAACTGGGGAGCTTCCTTTGAAGTCGGAGTGCATCTGCCTGAGAGGCAAGGAACCAGCAGTCTGCATTCAATTGAATCAGATCTGTAAAACTGATGCACTCGCAACACTCAGGTTCTGGAACAGGACTGCAGTCCAGAAGTGGACGAACAACCAGAACTTTACACCAGAGTTTACAGCTGGTGAACGCGAAGAAGAAGAAGTGTTATTGTTTATCTAATTACCGAAACAAAATCACATTTTTTATATTTCTCCTCATAAGTTTCTGTAACAAGTGAAATTTACTTTAGCACGCACAAGAACAAGATATTGTTTAACAGCTGCAAGAAACCTGGGCAACCAGTATAAAAATAAATGGATAAACACTGATGCGAGAAGTTAGATGCATATCCTCTATAGGACATTGCAGAACTAACCCTAGCAACTTTTGGCAGGTTTAATTATACTTGGCTATTTTATGTTCATTAGTTTGTGCCATTGCCTTCTGAATGATTGGCACTCCATACTTTTATTGAAATCAACACGTAGGGGTCTGCTACCAAATCAATTGCAACTGGAATCTGGATTTGTTTATTTTTCATTTTATCTCTTTTTATAACTGACAGCTTTTCTAAGATGTCTTAACTCACCATTCTTATGCTACAAGAACAGTTTTTTTTTCCAAAATAAACTGTTCTCTTTCGGAATCAAACCTTGGTACGTATGTGTCATGAAATTGTGAAATGCATTCATTTCTTCAAACCTATCAAATAATTATATACCAGGAGGCCAGTACTCATAGCTCCTTGTGTACCATATAGCATTCTCTTCATTGAGGTTGGGACAAACCAGATTGCTTCCCTATTCGCAGCATATACAGTTGCCAGTGTTAGAGCTCTTGGTGAGCATTTTCTGGTGCCATGTTGCAAAGGCACATCTTCGTGTTTCCTAGACCAAAAAGCTTGAACCTATGTTGGCAAAGTTGTGCCATGTCCTTAGCCTTCTTCTGTGCATTGAACGGCTGTACATTTGGGGGGAAAGTTCTGGTTGTTCGTCCACCTCTGGGCTTTCTGGAGTTTTTGTTGTTCAAGACCCAGAGCATTGCGTGCAAATCCGTCTTTACAGATCTGGCTTATGTTAATGCAGGTTGTTGGCTCCATGCTTCTCTGACAGATGCACCCCGACTTCAAAGGATGCCCCTAATTAGTCCACTTCTGCGACATGCTAGTTGGGTCTTGTTTTTCCCACACTAGAGTCCTGAAACCTACACGGGAATGTCCTTAGTCTGAATATGGCACATTGTTCCTCTCTAGAGAGGCGTTAAGTGAGTCCTTAAAAAAAAAATTTGAAATGGGTGCCCACATCCACCTTTATTGGATACTAGTTTTTATTTATATTTTAGTCTTTTAAGGTTAAGGCATAATTTGATTACATCATGTCACTGCCGTTTCTTTAAGTCACAGAGCATCTGTGAGGTTAGGTAAAGAAAGGTGCCTATTACCCTGCCTTGAAGCGTATTGGTACTTTAGTGCTAGCATCACAGCTGTGTACAAGAAAAGTGTCTGGATGGGTGTAGTTAACAGCACGCCAACCACTTAAACTTTCCACAGCCTCTCCTGGAACTTATTTCAGACATGGGTAGGGCTTATCTAATCTGGACTGTTTCAGACTAATTTAGCACAAGTACAAAAATTATGAGTGAGGATGCTGTTTACCAGCTAATCTTCCCTTATGCTCAGATATTTTAGAATGTTAGCATTTTCTTCTTGATCAATGGTATTCTGAAGATCTTTCTGTAGAATTTCAACTCAAAAGCTCCCATTTTCTTCTCTCTCTCTCTTTTCTTCTTCTTTCATGATGAGTTTCTTGGCGTAATAATGTGGTAGTTACTCTAGATATAGATCTATCTTTACTTATATAATAGCTTTTGCCAACGTTTTTTTTTTGGTTTTCGTTGCAGTTTGAGATCTTATTCTGCATTCAAGATGAGTTAGATTCTGTCATCATGATTGCACAGAGCTTGATTCTCAAGTACCCAAAGGTTGATGCTAAAATATTTATAGGTAAGAACACCTTTGTACCCTTAGTTAACAGACTTATAATTCCATTTACATGTTCTCTACTCCTGTACATGTCATGAAAATCACGGTATCTTGCCAGGCATGAGATTTGCCACAGGCTGTCCTATGCTGTAGCGTTGTTATGTTTCTTACAAAATTTTCAGTGCTATAAGCATTCTATATTCTGCATGGTGAGCGGCAGGCACATTCTGTTTTCCACGCTGTGAGCACCTGGCACTGTATGTGTTATTTGCGTTGTGCGTTCCCTCTTCATCTTACTGCGACTTGACTTCACTGTGAATTTCCTTCGACTGTCAGCCTTTTTCAGGGCACGCTCCAACATGTCACAAATTTTCAGAACAGTGACGGTTGCACAAGAGACCTAATTGAGAGAGAAAAGAAAACTAGTTAAACACTCACTTGCGCACACACAAATATTTAAAAAAAGACATGTTGGTCAGTGTTGCCTACCACGGAAGAGAGCTGCACATTTCCGTATTGGGCTTCAAACCAATGGGAGCCGCGTTTCCGCACGGTCTGTATAGACAGCGAAGGGGAAGGAATGCATATCCTAACACCCCTACAACAGTACAGCCCGTTAGAATAAAAGAAAGAAAGAAGTAAGAAGTAAATGACATTAGGTCACTACATCATTAGGAAACATTTACAAGGTTAGCAAAGAGTTACTGTAAAACAAAGGTGAATTTTAGATAAAAAGACCTGGAAAAGTGTAATTACTGTGTCAGCTAAGAGTACTCTGACCACCATAGTTTTCTCTAAAAAATAAATAACTGTTTCTGGTTTAAATATGTTTTTTAAAACTCACAAATGATAAGTCTATGAGAGCTTCCTGCATACATTTGCTCAAATGTTCACATGTGCTGTTTTTTTTGTTTCTAGGAAAAAAAAATGTTGGTGTTAACCCCAAGGTCAATAACATGATCCGAGGCTATGAAGCTGCCAAATATGACCTCTTCCTTATCTCCGACAGCAGTATTAGAAGTAAGCATTGTTCGTGTATTAGTGTTTCTCTCTCTCTTCTGCCTTTCTATCCCCCAATGGAGCATAGGCCCTCAACCAACTCACGCCAAGTCGTTCTATCCTTCGCCATTGCATGGAGCTCTCCCCATGTCCTCCCAATCTTTCTAACCTCGTTCTCCAGCTCTCTTCTCCGTATTAGTGTTTACCTGTCTTATATAAGCTGCATTTAGACTGAATCATGTTTTCAGTGTATCTCCATAGGAGTAGAGTGCCATGGACCTTGTTGCATGGAGTTAGGGAATCAGACAGAGGAATAAATAAGAAAAACGAGAATCAGACAGAATCGGTCCTGAAATCTCATACACTTCTTCTTCTTTGCGTTAACCGGCTGCAAACTCCGGCAGAAAATTCTGGTTGTTCTGCCACCTCTGGAATTCAGACTTGTTCCAGAACCTGAGTGTTGCATGCACATCTGTTTTACTGATCACTTATTTGTATGCAGACTGTTACCTCTCAGGCAGATGCACTCTGACTTTGAAGAAAACTCCCAATTAGTCGACTCTTACTGCATGCTTGTTCAGGCGGAAGTGGGTGTATTCTTGTTTTCTCCCACAATGGGACCCCAGAACCAACACACGAATGAAAAAAATGAGTGCAGATGCGTCAAGAGCTGAGCATCTGGAAAAGCACGTAAATATATATGATTGCAGCATTGGTCCTGGAGTCCCATACTCATAACTGTATAACGTCACTGGGTCTTCTTGCAACGCAACTCCGTGGGCTCCGATTCCCACGTTTTCCTATTAACAGTCATCGGAAAGATAAAAAGGTGCCAACAAAACCTCTTATCTCTAAGGTTTCAAATCCCAAGCCCAGATGAGGCAAAGGGTTGGGCCTGTGACCATTCCTCAGCCTGTGAAACATCTTTGCTTTAGAAACACTCAGGGGATTATCTTTGCCTTGAGCATTAGCTCCCTTATGGTTTTTGCTTAGAAATGTTACTTATTTGTAGATTTTAAGTTAAGAATCTCATTTAAAGTTATCAAACCCACTTTATCAGTTATTTTAAATACAACACACACTGACTAGAAAGCTCATCAGAATAAATAGAAAAAAATATACATGCACACATACAACTGGACATTTTGACCAAATTCTCTACCAGTGGAGTACTGAATGCAACACGGACTGAAACTAGAAAACTCAGCAGATTTCTTGAAATCAGCTTCACTGCAGTGATTTCTGTCTACATCGTAACTGTATAATTTACTTGTTTACTCTTGATTGTTACATTAATTGATTCGGTTTTAAGAGGTTTTAAATCTAGAGAATAGAGTTCAGTGCACTGGGTTTGATCCCATATGGTAGGTCTCTAACTGCCTTTCCAGAGCATTGCACAAAACACGACCCCAGGACCACCAGAAATATATGTAATAATTGTCACGTAACCAGATGACATAATCATACTAGCTCGGGGGCCGTGTTAGTTCAGTCGATAAGAGGCTCGCCTTCAAATCCAGCTGCGACTCGCAGCCCACGGTCGGTGTAACCGGGCGGTTACCGGGGTTCACCCAGCCTCTAAGAAATGGGTACCAGAGTTGACACCCTGGGGTAAATGGAGGAACGTTGAAGTAGCTACAGAGTTACGTGTGGAGGGCGACACAGGCGGACAATTCCTATCAGCTGTCCGTACTGGTGGCAGAGCACATATGGTTTATAACCGTGTGCAATAATGCTGGTTCACATCTCCCGACTTTACCTTTACCTTTTACCTTTCTAGCTGTTTCAGCTCAATGTGTTATATATAATAAAAACTGTTCTGTTTGATTTTAGTGAAAGAAGACTCACTCTTAGATATGGTGCTTCACATGACTGAGAAGGTGGGCCTGGTTCAGCAGATGCCCTATGTCTGTGATAGACCAGGCTTTATCTCTCACCTGGAGAAGGTAACATTTTATTGTTTTTCTTCTTCCTTCTTCATTTTTGTCTTTTTCTTCCTCCTCCTCTTTTTCTTCTCCTCCTCCTTTTTCTTCTTCTTCTTTTTCCTCCTCCTCCTCCCACATCTTTTCTTTTTCTTCATCTTTGTCTTCTTCCTCCTCCTCTTTATCTTCTTCTTCTTCTTCTTCTTCTTCTGAGTTCTCATACTTTCATTCCCCAGTAGACGGAAGGCCCCAGATAACTTATGGGAAGCATTCTGTAAGCTACTTATTGATAGGCTGGATTGTACAGCTAAAGTTTTCTGTGGAATCAGGTAAATAGTCTCTCACCACCTGTTCTTGGAGCCCTCTCATGACATGCTTGGTAGACTACAGCTTTACTATTCGTTACTCTCTTTATGGACTCCTTTAACCCTAAAACACACAGACCTATATTTTCTTTTTCATGATATACGTTTTGTCTTCTGGTTGAATTTCTTCTCCTTGGAACTGGTTGGTCTAATACCTAGGTTCAGGCAGCATTCGGATCTGCCCAACTCAAAATGGTGCATTCTCGAAATAAATGCCAGTCTGCCTAATGAAAAAGAGCAATAATAATGTCTGAACAACATATATGATTATAATCTTTGTTAAATACTGTGTTTTTGTTTATATGAGATGGCATTTTTCTCGAGTAATTAGAGTTTTAAATTGGGGTTCGTATTATACATGAAGTATGTTTAAAGCATTTATTTATTAGTTTTGGGCATTTAAAAAAATTGTGTCGTCTTATACATGGTGCTGTCTTGTACACAGACTTGCTTACTTACTTAGTCGCTTCTCTTTTATCTTGGAGTGTAGAGATTTGGCCAGACTTACTTACTTAGTCGCTCCTCTTCTATCTGGGAGTGTAGAGGTTTGCCAGAAAGATCACCAGACTTCTCTATCAGCAGTTTTCTTCTGTCTTTGTTCCATTCCAGTCCTCTGTCAGTCAGGAACCGTTGGATGATGTCTTCCCAGCGAACCTTGGGTCGACCTGGAGGTCTGGTTCCCCGGGCATGTACATCGATAAATAATTAATAATGTAATTCCTAGCGATTGTCCATGATGGTGGTAAATAATTATTGTATGAGGACACTTGATCAGAGGTACCCGTCTAATGCTGTACTATAACAAATCACGGGGCCAGATTTTGCGCTAGGAGGGAGAACTACTAAAATTAACAACAAGCAGAAGTCTCCAAAATTATAGAACATCGAACTTCTGCCAAATGAGGAAAACATGGTTGACAGGTTTCTCTTCTATCTATCCTCCATGTCTCTGTCTTTGTCTCACTATCCCTTCCCCTCTTTCTGTCTCCCTCCCTCCCTCAACGTCACTCTTTGCAACTGTCTGTTTCTCCCTCTCTCTGTCTGTCTCTAGCTCTCTTTCCTTTTATCTGTCTTCTCTACCACTTTTTCACTTTGTTCCCCTCCCTACAGGGGCGATTCAACTCATTTTACTTAGTTTACTTTTGAAGGCCACCAGTTGAATAGCCCTGGTCTAAAGCAACAGACTTTTAGTTGATGAAATTGCAGCACTCGGGGCATTTCCAAAAAACGCTCCATCCCCATCTTCAGCAGTCAGTGCCGAGTTCTAATACTGATGGTGCAAGAAGCATTCTGATTAAACATTTGTCTTGCCTTTCCTCTGAGCCTCGAGCATTAGCCAGAACCCCTCGTCACTCCCCGCTGCATCAATCTCATCAGACTGGTGATCCATCTGCTCCTCCGAACTGTACACGCTCTCCCAGGTCTGCCTGATAATGCATCAGTATTCCACCAAGTTGTGCAGAGCCAGCCAGTCTGTCCGACTGTTCATTTTCCGAACCACCGGCGGTCTCAGAGAAAAAATTCAGACAATACCCCTCACCCATGTCCTCCGCAGTAAAGCATACGACTCTGTAAGAAACATGCCGGTCCTGACCTTCCTCAGCATGTTTTCTGAGTTAGTTACAATCACGATGTTTGTGTGTCGTGTTCTCTAACCAGGAAAAGGCTGCATTGACCGCCTCCACCTCCATTCTTAAGCTGGATTTTGTGGTGTCATGCTAGGCTCTCTTGCACCAAACGTCGACCAATAACTTTTGCTAAGAAACCCTAAGCATTTCTTTTGCCTCTTGACACTTAACCGTCTGTAAATAAATCAAATCCTCTGAGGGAGCTTATCTTGAATTAATTGCTGAATTTCGACCTCCTTGGCACCTGCTGGCTAGTCTGCATTCCTGACTTAATGTGATTATGACCCTACACAAGTCAGACTTGCGATGATTCTCTTTTATCTTCTACTGGCTCGCCTCATCGCATGCTCGCTGCCATCTCACATACCGACATCACTCGACGAGCAGAAAAAATGGACGACTGGAAAACAACACGATACTGTTCCAGTACTTTAATCTTCCACTCGCGGCTTACACTGCCGGCACATGAACTAGACAACTGTCCAGGCACACATTATAATGCAAGTGTCAACTATTACCTTCAAGCAGAAATCACAATCACACTAACATCTTGAACGAAACACAGCAGCTGCCCTGACAGACAAACTCAGACGACCCGCAGACATATTACTGGCCAGCTTTTTTCGCCAAGTTGGACCGGAACAAATTCACTCACAAAAACATCTGCTGAATCCACACATCATCCACCGCTGTCCATGCACACTGTTCCTAGGTCCAAAACGAGACTGCCCACAAACCTTTTCTTCGCTATTATATAGCCCTCTGATCTATCCTGTTCTCGAATATTCTGGATTCCTTCTCACGAATTTCCCACTGTTGAAAGTCGTGTCTGGCCCGTGATAATTCACATTTCACACAAATCCTGTGAACAATCATGTTTCACATAAAACCTGACTTTCAGATGTCTCTCATGAAACTCAAGACATAAATCTCGTGTTATCTCAGCCAGTCAAAACATTCATCTTACATCTATTACTGACGTCATCTATCGGGCATAAATTAATGAGGAGAAAATGACTCACTACAAGACTGTTCAGCTTGCCTTTTGACCCCCTCCTCTTCTCGCCTAATGTTCTCCAGGATGCAAACCTGTCTGATTGTGTCGTCTGCCTGAGCCATCGATGACTTCCGCAACACATTTTTATGGCTCACTAATCTGACTCTTATTTTAATAAAGTTGATTGTGCCCATCTGCTTTAACTTTCCATATTTGTCTTTCTGTGCCCCCTCTTATCTAGTTTTTCCCCTTTTTTTAATGGGAAAAGGCTGTTGCTAATTTTAAAGTTTCCATAAATTAAAGTTTTAAATGTTTATTGTAGTTTGTGATGATCGGGCAATTGATCCGTCGTCTTTTCGTTGTTTGGTTTGCGGGGTGCTGATGGTATGTATTGGGGGAATGACAATCTATTTGCAGCCACATGCTGACAGCCACACATGGAGTGGAGCAAGTCGATGGTCTGCATGTCACTATTTTTTTATTTTTGTTGGGAGATGATGCGGCCTGGTAAAGGGACATCACTCAGATTTCCCAGTGTTGTTTTTGGCACATCTTATTCTACAGGCGTTCTAACTCCCCTTGCCTCTCTCTCTCTCTCTCTGACAACAAATACTCTCTGTCTGTCTTTCTCTCTACCTGCCCCTCTCTGTTTGTCACTGCCTCTTTTTCTCTTTCTCTCTGTCTGCTTCTCTTCCTCACTTCATCTGTCTCCCTCCCATTCTCTTGCTGTGCCTCTCTCTCTGTGTCTCTTTCTCTCTCTAACAGTTACTTTCTGCCTGTCTTTCTCCCTACCTGCCCCCTCTCTCTTTGTCTCTATTTGTCAATGCCTCTCTTTCTCTTGCTGTGCCTCTCTCTCACTTTCTCTCTGTAGTTCTCATCCTTGTTCTCTGTCTGATTGTTTCTCTGTTCTACCCTCTCTGTCTCTGCATCCTTTCTGCCTACTCCTCTCTTACCTGCACATCCTTCTCTGCCTGCCCATTATCTCTCTTTCCTTTCTTCCCTCTCTTCGTCTGCTGGTCTCTCTACCTGTCTGTCCCTTTTTCCTCTCTCTGTTCTCTTGCCTGTCTCCCATTCTCTTGCTATACCTAATTCTCTCCCTCTGTTTGATTCTCCATACTGCCATATCTGTCTCTTCCCTCCTGTCTGTCTCTGCTTGGATCTTCCTCTTTGTCTATCCCTGCTCTCTCCCTGTCTCTCTTTCCTTCTTCCCTCTCTCATCTGTCCATCTCTTCCTGCCTGTCCCTCTTATCTTTTACCCTGTCTCTCCCACTCTCGCACCTGTCTATATCCCTCTCTGTATGACTTGCTGTCTCTTCATACCCCCCCCCCCCCCCCTCCCCTTTCGGGTATCAGGTCTAGAGCAGAGGTTTTCAGTTTGACCCATTCCACTACACAGTTTAAAAAACACTACGTATGTGCGCCTATATCCACACGTGTACGCACAAAGTGCCGCATTATGCCTGGTACACCCTTGAACACCCCTGTAATATTATCGTTACTACTGCTGCTGCTTTTACTACTACTTCTACAGTTATTGAAATTACCATTTTTATTACTACTACTACTATTGTTACTACTAATACTATTGTTATTACTTTTTTTGCTCCTTTTTGATTTGCTTCATATCTTCTCCTTCTCTCACTATTTTTCATATTCTGATACAGCTTTCTACATAATATCCCTATGTGTGGACGAGTGTCTAGGGTGACTTTGTGATGTCTGTTGATAAAGGCTCAGGCTGATACGTTCTGTTATTTCTGTATGTGTTTGTGTGTTCTCTTCCCTTCGCCCTTCATTCAGCTTCCAAGTCATTGTTCAGTGAATGTATTGTGTTATACTAAATTTTTTGGGGGGGGGAAGGTGTTTACATCGCATGACCACCTCACATTGGTTTCAACAGTGGTATTGAGAGGCAACCATTCAGAGAGCAAAGGCAAACCACTGAACGTAAATTTGCCTAGAAAAACTGCAACAGCAAAAAAAAAAAAATGTTGAGGTTGGTTCTGCAACATCCCGTAAAGGTTATACAACTAACTAGGTTACAACACGTTTGTGTTTTTGTTACCAGATATTTTTTGGGACCCATCATGGCAAGATGTACTTGACCGCCAACCTGGCAGGTGTGAACTGTGCATCAGGCATGTCCACCCTTTTCCGCAAAGACATCATTGACGATGCAGGAGGGCTGGCTCAGTTTGGAAAGTACTTAGCTGAAGATTACCTGTTGGCCCAAGCAGTCTTGGACAGGTGGGTTTCACTGTCTGTGTTTTTTTTTTTTTTTATATTCTCCAGTGTTATCGGTTACGTGTTATAAATATTTAATGGCTGGCCGAGCGGTTACACTGTCAGGCTTTTGTTTGGGAGAGATGTGCTAGAAGCCTCGGTAAGGTGATGGGCATGTGTTTCTGTCGGGGCCAAAATAAATCTAACACTTATAGTTGGTGGTGACTGGACTAGCCATATGACCCTAAATTACCTGTCCCCATCCTACATCTTCCTGAACAGGCTGTAATTAACAAAAATATTTACTTGGAGATTCATTATGGCTGGCCTTCACTGCTAGTCTTTGCCATTTGATACTCTTCAGAGAGAGCCTTGTGATCTCCAACAACATGTATCAGTTCATGTGCTGAAACCACTCCAAGCTATGACAGAAGGCTGTCAAGGATCGTCTTGCCTTGTCTTCCTCTGAAACCACTCCATGCTATGACAGAAAGCTGTCAAGGATCGTCTTGCCTTGTCTTCCTCTGAAACCAACCACTCCATATATGACAGAAGGCTGTCAAGAATCGTCTTATCTTCCTCTGAAACCATTCCATGCTATGACAGAAAGCTGTCAAGGATCGTCTTGCCTTGTCTTCCTCTGAAACCACTCCATGCTATGACAGAAAGCTGTCAAGAATCGTCTTATCTTCCTCTGAAACCACTCCATGCTATGACAGAAAGCTGTCAAGAATCGTCTTGCCTTGTCTTCCCACAGATCTTTTCAGGGGTCACAGCTCCGGTTCCCTCTTTACCTAACATGACCAAAACATGATGACTATCTCCTTTTGGTGTTTGTGATAATTCATCCTCCGGCTGTCACCTCTTTCAAAACATCTGGTTTACCTTTTTTTTAGACATAGAAGGAATTGTAAGCATTCTTCTGTAAAACCACATATCTGAGCCCTCAAAAGAAATTTGTTTTTGATTTTGTGTGTGTGTGTGTGGGTTTAAGTGTCCCACATTTGCATTTATATGTTAAAGCTGAATACTCTTCTTAAAACTTCATATTCAATTTGTTGTTGTTTCTTCCAGGGGTTACAAGATCCAGTTGTGTAGCCAGACAGCTTTACAGAACTCAGGACACACTTCACTGTCAACATTTCATGATCGTCTTATAAGGTATGTCTTTGTGGCCATACTATCCTGTAAGTCTATCTGACAATGACAACAGGTCACAGAAGCCAGCTTCAGGCCTAAGAAATGATATATCTGAGAAAGGTGGTCCTAGTGACAAGAAGGTACAAAGTCCGCAATTGGACAATACGTCAAGATCTTGCAACCCAGGCCTTACAAACCCTAGTGGATCAGTCACAGTTAAGATGGTTTGGACATGTATGCAGAATGAGTGAAAATTGGCAGGCATGGGAGGCTGGGAACCAGGGAACCATTACGGTGGGAAGACAACACCGACAGTCCCTGGTGGACAGATGACTGGAATGGAACAAAGACAGAAAGAAAACTGCTGATAGAGAAGTCTGATGATCTCGCTGGCAAACCTCTACACCCCAAGATAGAAGAGGAGCGACTAAATAAGTAAGTCTATCTGACAAACACATTTAATATAAATAAAATAGACACCAAAACTAGAAATTCAGTTACTCAGTAATATTGTAATGAATAAAAGTACCTGAATAGTTTTGTATTCAACCATCATTATAAACATAAAATCATTGGACGGCTCAGAGGATTTTTTTTTTTTTCTAATTGGCTAGACGTGCCTCTTAGCTTATGTTCTAGTTTTTCTCAATTGTCTTGACAGCCACCACTGATCCACACATATATGATGTTGACTCTTGAAGATCAGGTTTGACAGTCAAGATGTCCACCTGGAACTGAAGAAATGGGACACACCATTTAATTTGTGCCTTTTCACAATGTCCTACTGAGGCTAGTCCTCATAAACTTTCATCTGCATACACACATATATAACATGGTGATGTAGATTCCAATTATATCCTGCATAGAGACAGTTACTTGTTGAGTGGCGAAACAAGCGCATCCATGTCTCATAGATACACATTTACCAGGGCCTTTCACGTGATATAAATCTCAATCACACAGAATGGTGAATTGTTGCAATGTGAATGATTATCATTGTTCCGTTCTCCTTGCTTGTGGGTGGTTTCATTCAAACACTCTTGCATACATCAGCAGATATTACAATCTCAAAAATAAGATTTCACATTACAGGGAATGTGTGATTGGGGATTTGTTCATGGATTGGCTTACACTCATACATCGGCTTACACTCATACATCAGCTTACACTCATACATTAGCTTACACTCATACATCGGCTCACACTCATACATTGGCTTACACTCATACATTATGAGCTAACCTAACATAATAGCTCTCATTCAGTATCACTTAATGTTGTTAACATAATTTGAGTTTGTGGCATTCAACTTTGTTTTTCTAACAGAATCCACTGATTAGCAGGAATGGTAGGAGAATAGCTATAGCGATAGTAAGCAGATTCAGTTAGTTGGTGGTACTTCACTTACCCCTGGTAAGGATTCAATATGATCATCCAAAATTGCTCCAGATTAGTTTTTACTCATAGGAGGCGACTAATTCAGGGTGTTTCCATCACAATCCGTAGGAAGTTACTACAAGGGCAGAATGTAGGATGGGCCCGCGTGCCCATTTTTAACTTTTTAGAAATAAAGTTATTCTGTTCATTCGTTACTGTAGATTTTTGATGTAGCAGATTTACAGTGTAACATTTTTAACTGTGTTGAATACAGGTGGACAAAGTTACGCAACGCAACTGTTATCACTACCATGTTTTTTGAGCCACCGTACCAGTGTCTTATGCAAGGCTTAATCATGGCGTTTGTGACAGAGCACCTCTTCTCCTGGATTCCTTTAGTCTTCTTCATGGGACATGTGCTTGTTTGGTTCATTCTCGACTACATCCTCTTATGTGTAATACAGGTGAGTACAGATTTCAGCATCACTTTCAGGTTTTTCTTTCTCAGTCCACATCGATGATCCACTGAGATGCTGAAGCGCACTTAAGATGCATCCTCCTGTGTGTAATACAGGTAGGCAGTGCCGGATTTAGGCAGAAGCTAACTGAGCAACATAGCGCCTCACAGTCTGCAGCAGCTGAAGAATCTCCCCCCCCCCCCCCCCCCCCCACAAACGCCATTTTCTTTTAATGTATTTTTAATTTAGTTTTCTTAATATTTTTTAAATTGTTTTCTCCCCAAATTTTTCCTTTTTTTATTAACATTTTTATTATTACTCTGATTTTGGGTGTATTTTCCCAGGCTTTCAATCATTTTAGTTTGATGAGATAGCTGGTGTAATTTGAAATGATAGGGACCTCAGGGCTTCATATAGCTTGAGGCGTCGTCATATCTAAATCCGACACTGCAGGTGGGTGACGATTCAAACCTCACTTTAAAAGATTTTTTTTCTTATCCTCATTGATGATTCGCATAGATAAACTAAGGCCTGGCCAAGATAGATAGGATCAGTGTTTTCTTCAGTCAAAATCTGCCTGAGAAGTGAGGAACCAGCTGTCTGCACACAGATAAGCTGTATCTGTAAAATGTATGGGCACTCAACACTCAAGTCTTGAAACAAGACAAATGTCCTGATGTAGATGAACAAGCAGGACTATCTCCCAGAGTTTACAGCTGATGACTGCGAAGAAGAAGATGCATCTGTATCAATGGCAGAACGCTAAGATTTCTGATCTTTGTAAACAAAAAGACATGATTATGACACTGCACTGGTATAACAGGCATTTGCTTTTGATTATTTTTCAACTTGTACTTCCGTTATGAAGGATTTACTTTTTTGTTGCTCTATTTATGTAATTGTTACTGTAGTATGCAGTGATGAGTTACAGCGAAATGTACCAGGCAATAAATTGTGCAGTCTCTTATTTTTGTCTTCCTTGTTCAAAATTAATGCTGTTTGCTTTATGCCCGTGTGGGCTCCAGGGTCCCATTGTGAGGAGGTCAAGAATAGACCCATAGCCGCACCCGCCCCCCCGCACCCCCCACTCGAGCATATCATAAGACTTATTAGGGGTGTTTCCTGCAACATCAGAGTGCCTATGCTTGGGATTTGTGGAAACAACAGTCTGAATACAAATAAGCCAGTTATCTCTCACGCATGTGCATACAAAACTCTAGTCCAGAAGTGGACGAGCAACCAGAACTTTCCGTAGAGTTAACAGCCAGTAAACAAGAAAAAGAAGTAGTTTGTTGTCTATGTAGAAATAGTTTGCAAAAGTTTTAATCGTTTATAATAAAACAAGTGCACAAGAAGGTACGGAAAAGTTTATAGCCGCAGGTATAATTGTATTGAAAAAAATATACTCAAGTATGATCTCCTTGTTATTTTCTGTTCTAATCCCACATTAATTTCCGTTCCTATCCTGCATCTTTTATTTATTTCTGTTCTTATCCCACATTTGTTATTCTCTGTTCCTATACTACACTGTGCCTTATAACAGAATTGACACTGACAGCAGTCTCAGCAATTCTAGTAGCATACACATGTAATAAATGCATAAGGCAGCTGTCAGAAGTGCCAACACAATCCATCACTAGAAATGCAGTTCATTGTCAAGGGAAGCAGCAGTTAAAACAGATCAGTAGTTGCACAAGCAGTTAATTGCATGAAGCATTACCAGTTCTCTTGCAACAGGACACTCACCATCATGTGAATTTGCAGTTTACAACACAAACAAAGCATCCCAACTGAAATTTTGCAACGCACAGTGTAGTGCCTTGCACTCAACTCTGTAGCTGGGTGATGGAACTGTGTCCCTTCAGTATACATATAGAGGAAAATGCAATAGCTAACTGTTGTCAAAAGCAGAACCTTGCCATGACTAGCAACAGTAAACCTTCGTATCCAGCAAATTTACTGCAAGACTATCCCTATTATTATAGAATAATATTATAGACTAGCCTTCCCAGTTGGAAAAGATCCTCAGATGGGTTCCTGAGCCCTATTGTGGGGGCAAATAAGAATAGACTCACTACCTACCCAAAAGCATGTTGTAAGAGTCGACTGATTGGGAAGCTTCCTTTGAAGTTGGAGCCCATCTGCCTGAGAGGTGAGCGACCAACAGTCTGCATACAGATAAGCCAGATCTGTAAAACGGATGTGCACGCAACACTCAGTTTCTGGATCAGGACTAAAGTCCTGAGGTTGACGGAAACCCAGAACTTTCCTTTAGAGTTTACAGCTGGTGAACAAGAAGAAGAACTTGGAAAGGAAAATTTGTCCGGCAAGATTTAGTCATTGGTTGGTAGGCATCATAGGAGTCGCCATGGCAGAGCGACTAGAAGCGGGTTGCGGATCGGAAGGTGGTGGGTTTGCTCCCTTAGTTTTTTCTTTTCAGAAATGACGTTTTCTCCTAGGTCGAACCAGCCTTGAAGTGCAGGGAAGTAAAGGCGGCCAGCATAATGCTGACCACATCACTTATCTTGTGCCGATTTGTCTATAAAATATAGGTCTAGCCCTCTATGCCCTATACACCTTAGGGTGTGGAAAAGGGACCTTTACTTACTTTACTCTGGTAGGCATCTCTAATTTTTATTATAAATATATTTAGTGAAAGTTCAAGTGTTCATCTTTTTGTTTTTCTTTTGGCATTCCAGCAAGGCCCATTGCCCATGTCTAAGTTCGAGTTCCTCGTGGGATGGCTGATAAACGAGTTCTCTTACCCCATGATCATTTGCCGAGCTCACTGGGATCCGCTCATCACATGGAGGTCCCGGCGGTATAAAGTTCGATGGGGCGGCATTACCACTGAAGTAACGTCCGCACCACTGATGAAACCCAGTGAGAAAACATGAAGTCACCGCTTAGATATTATTGTTCGTTGTCACTGGTGCTCAATATTGGTTCCAGTAGCCCTGATATTGTTTCTATGTGACCACCCATATGTATTGTAACATCTTATTATCGTACGTCTTTGCTCATAGCATCATGGTTGTTAATATTGTATTATATGCTTCGTTATGTTGAAAGATGAGTTTTGCCTATGTTTGACAATTTTTGTATCAGAATGGACATTCTGTTGACTGTTTTTGTATTGTTTCTGTTATATTATGGCCTGCTGTCAGAATGGGATTGATGTCTAGAATTAACTGTACAAGGGTGGTGTTGCTTTAATTCGTCCTAACCTAACTGTTTGTCACCCAAAGTATAACATGTCTATTTCTGGAAGACTTAAAATAATAACACTATTGCAAGACAGCATGAGTTAAAGTAAAAACTGAGGAAGAGTGGGGTAAATGTGACATCATTAACATGTGCCATGCCAGTAAGCGCAGGCTCTCTTGTTCACCAATTCATACAAGCACCAGAATCTTGCCAGTGTCCTTGCCAAGCTGACCAGGTTTATCTTTTTTTTTAACGTGACTTTCCCTTGTTCTTTTCCCACCAATCATGCCAGTTGTAGTTAAGTTCTGGGGTACATTCTCTCCCCCCCCCCCCCCCCCACCCTCGTGTCAATATCCGTCTCTGGTCAATATCCGTCTCTGATCAGCCTACAGTTTCTTATTGCGATTTCATATCTCTGAAGGCGGCATCATCATTATCATACAGCATTCTTGGCACTATCATCACAGCATTCTGGAAAGTCACTTGGTCTCGCCCAGGCTGTCCTTGATATTCCCCTTTCTGCCGCCCTAGTGCTGGTTGACCCATGCTTCTTCTTTCTGAAACCATACTCATCATCCCCTCCCCTCTCCCCATCCCCAATCTGTCCAGGGTCTGTCCTGCATTCTTAAATAGAGCTACCTCTGCGGAACATTTCTTTGTCAGTCTCGTAATTATTGAAGAATATGAATAGTTATTATTATTTTTTTTAAATTACATTCCTGTTTATATTATGATTTATAAACATAACAGTTCTGTTTTAAATATCAATAAAATGCTTCAATTGAAACGTAAAAGTAACAACTAAATTTTCACAATCTGAGGAAGTATTGATTGAGATCATCACTTAAGCATCATTACTTACTTAGTGGCTCCTCTTCTACCTTGGGGTGTAGAGGTTTGCCAGAGAGATCGCCAGACGTCTCTATCAGCAGTTTTCTTTCTGGCTAAGCATCATTTCAAACACATTTTATTTGCAGAGGCTAACGGCCACATTACATTTTACAGAACAGCACAATCATGGTTTTTTATTTCGGCTAAATTGTGGATGCACATTTTTTAGGAGATCTGCTGTATATGGAATACTCCAGTTGATAATTGAGAACGAAATCTGGTATAATTGGCACCTTTCCGTCTTTCCAGACGATAGTGTTATATTGCGCAGTTAGGAGTCATGAGACTCACAGCCCATGGCGAAGGCGAGTGTGACTAGCAAGACCCGCCCGTGTCAAGAAAAGTCTTCCACAATGATAGCATGGGATTTCAGGACCATTGTTGTCAACATTTGTGTTTAATCCGTTTCTTTTCAGACGTTAAGCTGTCATCCTTTCTGCAATCATTTCTTCCTTCACTCTCATTCTCTTCCTGATCTGGTAAAATTTTAACGGTATTTACACGTCTACAATTATGAATTTTTATAGCTTCCTAGAAAGTAAAACTACTGTTTCCATGTAGCTAGGGTTTGTTGTATCAGAGTGGAATATTTACAGTATTACTGCATTGTCTTTGCATTCCTACAGTTAAAAACTGTTTTCCTGTATTAGAATTTAAAAAACTGCAGACATAAGCAATATATTTGCACAACTTATTGCCAGGCATATTTCGCTGGATCTATTCAGGTGCTTTACTACAGAGTTACATCAAAATCTAGTGGAGCAGAAATATTTGAATCCTAAAATATGTGTGTGCTTCATCATATATTGATGTAACTTCGTAACAGAACAGAAAATATAACTGATACCATTCATATGGTAGAATGAAAGAGCCATTATTTTCAAATATTTTCCTATTGGCTTTCTTTGTTACTATATTTTGATAGTGTAAAAACAAAAGTTATCAGAACAGAAGCTGCTTGAGGACTGGACATGTGAATCTCTGATATTTTTTTATTTACAACGTATGCATTTTATTTGCGGTGTATTGTTATCAGTTCACTATGTAAGCTCAAACCATTCTCTTCATGCACGCACACAAAGTATTGAACAATTCTTAGTCATTACTGTGTACATTTCACTTCTTGCCTCTGTTTATGCACAGCTTATCAGAAAAGGTAATAATTATGATGGAAAAATATAGGTTCTTTCCCAATATCTCCTCTCAAACAGTCAAATACTTTAGGGGGTAGTGGGTAGGCTGCATGCAGTCGTGGGACCTAGGCTGCACTCACTCGTGGGATGTGGGTGAGTTAGGGTTAGGCCCAGTTCTAGATGCTTTAGGGTAGTTAAAAGCACCATAAAGCTGGGACACCTGCTGTTACCAGCCTCGAAAATATTGGACTGTCCTGTGATGTCATCCTGGGGGGGGGAGATATTGGGAATGCACCAAAATGTAGTCTTTGTGTCTTAGGATATCAGTCTTCTTTATATGTATTGTGTATTATCTAATGTATTTCTGTTAGTTCGCTGAATTATGAAAGTTAGGTGGCTGTTCCAGCATGTGTGTGTCAGAACAATTGTGGCTTATTTGGTCATAAATGAAATGCTCTAAAATGTTTATTTCAGTTGAGCTAGGTTATTTTACAGTGGCTGAATAGTTTATTTTGCTAGGTGGTTTATTTCAAGATGACATAAAAGGTAATTTGGTCTAAATAGCTTACTTTGTTGTGATTAAACACTTTATTACTGTGTGATTAGATGCTTTAGTATTGACTTTTTAAATTCATAATGACTAAATAATTAATTTTATTGTGACTAAGTAGTTTGTTTCATTGCTGCTGAGTGGTTTGTTTCATTGAGACTAGATTTTTTAATTGTGATTCAGTAGTATCATTTATTGTGACTAGTTGGTTTATTTCATTGTGACTAGTTGGTTTATATTTTTATTTTTATTTTGCAGCTAGGATATTAATTTATTGTGGCTGAATAGTTTATTTCCCTCTTGACTAAAAGGTTTACTTTCATAATGATGATGTTTTATTTCATTGTCACTGGATAGTTTATTTCATTTTTGATTTGGTGGGTTAATTCCATTGTGACTGAATACTTATTCCATTTTTGACTAGGAGGTTTATTCCATCTTGATTGAATAATTTATCTCATTGTGGCAGAATAGTTTTTTTTTCATCTTGACCAAAAAGGTTTACTTCATGGTGACTTGGTGTATCCATTGTGACTGAATAGTTTATTCCATCTTGACCAAAAAGTCCCCTCCATCTTGACCAAAAAGGTTTACTTCATGGTGACTTGGTTTATCCATTGTGACTGAATAGTTTATTCCATCTTGACCAAAAAGTCCCCTCCATCTTGACCAAAAAGTCCCCTCCATCTTGATCAAAAGGTTGACTTCATGGTTGCTGGATAGTTGATTTCATATTGACAGAGTAAGCCACAGTTGTACCTGTACAGATGGAATGTATTTCTTGTCTGCTGTCTTCCATTGTGCTTTGTCTTCATTTTGTCCTGTGTCTTCCAATTTTCTAAATAGGTATTAAAAGAAGGCAACAGTGTCTTCCACCTGACCCTTCTGCATTTAATTTTAAACTGTCATGGTGTATTTGTAACCTGCCAGATGTCAGACTATAGGGCTCACTCAGTACAGGGGCAAGAGGGGATAAGCCAGGCCAAACAAACTTGTCAGACTATAGGGCTGAGTACAGGGGCAAGAGGGGATAAGGCAGGCCAAACAAACTTGTCAGACTATAGGGCTCAGTACAGGGGCAAGAGGGGATAAGCTAGGCCAAACAAACTTGTCAGACTATAGGGCTCAGTACAGGGGCAAGAGGGGATAAGGCAGGCCAAACAATCTTGTCAGACTGTAGGGCTGAGTACAGGGGCAAGAGGGGATAAGGCAGGCCAAACAAACTTGTCAGACTATAGGGCACAGTACAGGGGCAAGAGGGGAATAAGCCAGGCCAAGCAAACCTTGTCAGACTATAGGGCTCAGTACAGGGGCAAGAGGGGATAAGCCAGGCCAAACAATCTTGTCAGACTATAGGGCACAGTACAGGGGCAAGAGGGGAATAAGCCAGGCCAAGCAAACCTTGTCAGACTATAGGGCTCAGTACAGGGGCAAGAGGGGATAAGCTAGGCCAAACAGACTATAGGGCACAGTACAGGCGCAAGAGGGGATAAGCTAGGCCAAACAAACTTGTGAGACTATAGGGCTCAGTACAGGGGCAAGATGGGATAAGGCAGGCCAAACTAACTGGGATATAATACATGTCTTGCTGTTTTAAAGCAGATCCGAACAGGTTGAGCCAGTGACCCAGGTGTGCTAACCTGATGTAATACACGTGGGGGGGGGGGGGGTGTCTTAGCAAACATGCTATTACTCTTGCACATGTGTATTTCTTCATTATTTGTGGTCTTGCTTCATGTTTGAACTGAATACAAGCTTATCTGTGTACATTTTTTCCCCCATTGGGTACCTTGCAGCTCATCGTAAGGTTCATTAGTCGGCCCACAGGCATTGGGCTGCTGAGATTAAACAACTGGACAGCAGTTAACGGCTAATGTTTAACAGCTCAGTATTTCCGAAGCACTTGCGAAGTGTGTCTTGATTCACTATGAGGCCTTTAATTTGTAGTGTGGTTTGCATTTAAGGCTTCATTATTTTTTTTTTTTTTTTTTTTTTTTTTTTTTTTTTTTTTTTTTTTTTTTTTTTTTTTTTTTTTTTTTAGAATTTGCGATTTGCATTTAAGGCTGTTGTCTTTATCATTTGTGATTAGGTTTGTATTTGAGGCTCATTATGTATA